TGTGATATATATTTGAGATTTAATAAAAACAAAAGATCGACATTATATGTGATCCTATAACATTTTAATCAAGTTATTACTCCGTATTCGATTTTAGAAAGATTCTGTTTTTTCAAGAAATAAACAGACCCTTATTTTCTTCTTCATGTATATGTGCACACATACTTACATATTTCCTCATTGTGTTCTATCTGCTGTCAGGAACAATGAAGGGCGTGCCCTCTTGGAGGAATGCTTACTGATTACAGAGAAATCTAAAGGGAAAGACCATCCCAACTGTGTTAAACATCTATTGAATCTTGCCACTTCATATTCTCGGTCCAAAAATTATGCTGAAGCTGAGAAGTTGCTGCGCATTAGTTTACAGATTATGTTGAAGACTCTGCCACACGATGATCAATCTATTAGCTTCCCAATGCTCAATCTTGCGCTTACTCTCTTTAATTTGAATCAAGTTGATGAAGCCGAGAAGTATGCACTAGAGGTTTTACGCATTCGCGAGAATGCCTTTGGAAAAGAGTCTCTTCCTGTTGGTTAGCTCCCGATGATTGAATACTATTGTTATAATAATCTTTTTACCCAAAGAAATACTCCGTGTTGATTAGCTCTTCAAAGTGATATGTTTTTGCTTTGTCTTAACCATAAAAATGTGTTCTTTTTGCAGGGGAGGTTCTTGACTGTCTTGTTTCTATACAGAAAAGACTAGGAAGAGATGACAATGAGTTGCTGGAGCATCTGAAGCGAATTTTGAAAATTCAAGAGAAAGCTTTTGGCAGTGAGAGTGAAGAGGTTATGGAGACACTCAAGAAGGTCGTGCACTACATGACAACGATAGGGTTGAGACATGAGAAACTCCCTCTCGAAAGAAGATTGGCACGTCTCAAAGACAAGTACAAGCATGCTGTGAAACAATATTAAAGGTTCCACTCCCAAAGCTGTAAGCAAGAGTCATGGTGCAGTCACACCACGGATGACACCAAGTTTGACAATGCCAAATGTCTCATGTTTCAAGTCATTGTCTCTGATCATTTTGCCGTAGAACTTTCATATGAACAATGCCAAAGCGATGGGCGATTCACTGGCCTTTACCTCAAGAAAGCATTATTAACGATTGGAGCTAGTGATTATATATATTGGCATTATCAAGAATTTTCCTATGAAGAGAGCATCAAATTAAACTGAAAGCAGGATTGAGCTGAGACTTCAAAACCGACATCAAATTACATACGCTTTGTATGTATATGTAATTGCCTCAGCTCGGGATGCTATACACCTGCACTTTCTAGTGCGTTTGAGAATGATAAAAATGAGAGAAAAAAATATGCTTTGCTATGTTGTTCTCTGCAGTTGTTATGTTTGTTCTCTTTAGAAGGACAGATGTTCTAAAAACATATTCAGTAGAAGAGAATGTATGGTTTTGTCTCTTTTGGAAGCACTTGTAAGAGTATTGGCTCCCAAAAGCCTTCTAATTCAACTTGATTCAACCCGAACTCTTTAACATTACGTTTGGTTTCGGGGAATAAGGAAAAATAAGTCAAAGAAATTAAAACCAAAATGCAAGATATATTGAATTCAAATGTGATACATTTAATTCTCAATTTATCTTTTTTCAAAATTATGTAAAGAGCTCAGGTAAAATTTTCTCTATAAATATTCTGTATTTTAAATTCATATAATATATGAGTATTCTAAGTATTATTTTATCAAATGAATTAATTTTCTAAACAGCAAGTTTAAATAATTTCTTACCCCATCCGTATGAAATAAATTGGTTGACTCGCAACAGAATTAGAGAAAACGTTTTGAACTTTCCTTCCTTGGTTGCTTTGCCTTGCCGGATGGAATTCACACGGATAATGAGAAAAACAGACTCCAACGTTTCTTGACCGACTTTTTTTTGTTCTTGGGCGGAGGTGGACTAAATTATTATTATAAATTTATGTACATTTTTTTTTTGAGTGCATAAATTTATGTGGGTACATTATTTCTGGGATAAATTTGTTTATTTGGGGAAGGTGAAGATGCCAAGCTGTGAGGTGGGTAAGTACCAAAACGAAGAAGATGCTGCTCAGAACAATGGGATCACGATCTTCTATCGGACCTATGGCCAAGGGACCAGTTAAGGTCCTCATGATCATTGGTATTTATATTTTTTTTTCTTGATTTTGAAGAAACCAATTTTTTATTTGACTTTTTTTTAATAAAAACTATCCAAGAAAATCTGAAAGTTTTGGTGTTTGAGCTGGTTTTGGTGATGGTAAATAGGTTTGGCTGGGACGCACGATTCATGGCTTCCGCAAATCAAAGAGCTCGCCGGAACGGTGACTCCCAATGACTCCGAGTCGCCGTCCGGCGACGGTGGTGGCAATGGAAACGTCGAGGTTTGTGCTTTTGACAATCGTGGAATGGGTTTGAGCTCCGTGCCAATTAAGAAACACCAATACACGTGAGTTTCCTTTCAAAGATTGGATTTTTATGCGTTTCAAGTGGTTACAGCTTCTGGGTATTCTTGGATTTTGATTTTCATGGGAGGGTAGATAGCCTTTGTGCGTCACTTTACTGGGAATAAAGTGATTTCACAGTTGCAGCCTAGTTGATTTCAGAATCTTGGATTTTGTTAGATGTGAATGTGTCTGCAGAATTACTGAAAGCCTAATGATCCATTGTTATATTAATAATTTGAAATGAAATTTGATATTCATTGTTCTAAAAAAAATCATAGAAGTCATTTGCTACTGTAAAATCATCAATTGTGACTTGCGATAGGGTAAACTTGATGTTTCACCGACTTTCACATTGTGATGCAGGACAAGAATCATGGCAAAAGATGCAATAGCTCTGATGGATCATTTAGGTTGGGAAAAAGCACATGTATTTGGCCATTCAATGGGTGAGTTTAATTTGTGCAATGTCAAGATTTGGGTGGCACTCTTCACGATTTCCTACATGTATAATTATATATGCTATCTCCAAATTTAGTTTTCTACTTTTATTTTTTTGAGTTGTCTGAAGGTAATTGTCCACTTTACTTATTTGGTGAACAAATGATATGGCATTGCACAAAATAACCCTAGAGCATATTAATCATGTTGCCAGCAATGGAAGACAAGCCCTTTACAAAGGCTTTTTTTGTCATTTCACCCATTACCAACTTATTTGCTTTATATACCTTTTTGTGAAACAATAAGAATATTACTCATTTATTGTAATCCATTAATAGAAATATTCATGTTATGGTCACTGGACTTGACTTTGTTGGTGCATATCATTTTGAATTGTGCAGGAGCTATGATTGCTTGCAAGTTGGCTGCAATGGTGCCTAACAGAATTTTGTCATTGGCTTTACTGAATGTAACAGGTGGAGGTTTCCAGTGCATACCGAAGGTTGTTCTTTCTTTCTCTCTTTCTTTATTCTTTCTCTTTTCCGGTGGATATCTCCCATGCATATCAAAGACAACTTTTGGAATTTTAAAGAAATCAGTCACTTCAAACATTCATGAATTATTTCAACCAAAGTATATGAGCACCCATCATGAGTAACTTTTAAGCACATAGTAATTCTATTACACTCCGTATTATGTGTCTTTGTTCCTGAAGACAACGGTTGCTACTTCCAGCCCTAAGAGCTAATCTCTTGGGAAGTATTCTATGGTTGTATTCATTTGAAAAAGTGCTTATCTGATCTAAATCAACGAAAATAGAAAAGAGTGCTCAAAATATCAAAGACTTATCTAGAAAAATATGCACGAAATCAAACATTGGTAGACATGTGCAAAATAATCTCACTTTTTGAATTTGTCTAGAATATTGTCTCACACTCCCTCCTTTCAACTTTGTAGTGTATGTTAGTCCATGCCCTAAAACTGTGATGTTTATTTTGGTCACTTGAGAATACTATTGAGTGCTTGATATCGTTATTACTATTGATGAATCTATGTTCACTAATGTGTTTGTAACAGTACTCCCTGCTACCTATCTCCTTGAATAAAAAGATGTTTGAGAGTCACATCTAACCATGTAGTTTATTCATCCTTGTTCGCAGTTTGACCGTCGAACTTTGTCAATTGCTGTCCGTTTTCTCAAGGCAAAAACTCCTGAACAAAGGGCTGCTGTTGATCTGGACACCCATTATTCAAAGGTGAAAATATATGACTTTTTTTGTGTAGTTTTGTTTTTGTTGTTGTGTTTCACTTAAGTACAACTTTGGTGGTTTTGTCTGGATGTTACATATATGCAGGAATTTCTTGAGGAATACGTAGGAACCATTACACGCAGAGCAATATTGTATCAAGTATGTTATGTCACAGAACAACTTTCTTCTTTTTTTAATCCAAAAAAAGAGAAGAAAAAGAAACAGAGCTAACATTTAATAATATTCTTGATGATGAACATGAGCCATTGACATCCTTTTGCAGGAATATGTGAAACCTATATCAGCAACAGGGATGCAGTCGAAATATGATTGGACGGTCAGATCAATGCTTGCTGGACCCACAAGTTATCCAAGAAGGAGTTGGAATCCATTTGCTCCGCCGAGTTTCCTATTTCCATCATCCATGGGAGGTATGTATGAATGTTGGTATATAATAACAGATACTATAATTAATAATAACATTAGGTCTTTCGGTAACGACTCATTCTTATCTGATTAATATTAATATTAGGGATGATGTTATTGCCCAATTTACCAATTATACCATGCGCGAGCACTTGCAGCGAAGCTATACCCTTTTGCTAGAATGGTGGAACTTCATGGAGGCCATCTTGTCAGTCATGAAAGGACTGAAGAGGTCAAACAAAATTTCTTCTTCTTCTTCTTCATGCTAATACAGAAGTCCCATCAAGTTGTAAGGCAGAAAAACTTCTTGTTATGTGTTTGATAACTAACTATAGACATGACGAAAAATGCAGGTAAATGAAGCACTTCTTCAGCTGATCAAAGCTTCGGAAAGCAAGATTAATGCATTAGAGTGGACGAATTTGTCCTTGGAAACTACCGGTACGATAACTAGTAGCATTTGTTCAATCTTCTACATGGCTTCCTCTAAGATACTGCCAAATGCATTCTAATGGGTTTTGTTGTGTGTGTATATATATATATATACATATATATATATATACATATATATATATATATATATATATATACATATATGTGTGTGTGTGTGTGTGGATGAATTGCCAGGGTGGAAAATGATTCGGTTGTCAATTACCAGACCGAACGGTTTATGTTTTGTTTTCTTTTACATCATAGAAAGGCTCCAAGTCTTTCTTCTCTTCATTTTCAGCCTTTTCCTACTATCATTTGAACACATGAGAAGAGCTATTAAAAGCGCCGTAAAACCTGCAAAAATTGGAGCCACCCTCAAATGAAGAAGCATACAAGAAAGAGCTGTTATAACGATGGTAACTTTTTTTGATTGTTTATCCCTTTGCAAGGGAGTTTTGTCGTTTTTACCATCCCATTCCCTTGGGGAGCCTATTCGCACATGTGTTTTAGGGAATTGTTGAGGATCGCAATCCTATATCCTTTATTATAATAAAGGAGACTCGGATGCATGAGAATGTGACATTTGGCACGCCTATTTGGCAAAAAATGGAACACCTCAGCAAGCCACCTAATCTATTTGGCAAAAAACGGAACACATCAGCAAGCCACCTAATAATAGAAAAAATAAAAGAAAACATAAATAAAAGAAAACAGCGGAGAGGAGGAGCCTATTTCGCGACAGTAAGATCTGCCGAGCCTGGAGATTTTAGAAATCAAACCTTTCCTTTTATGGTCGCTGGAGAAACGGAAGAAATTGGATGAATTTCCGAGATAATCCCGGTAGATTTTCGTATTCAAGAAGCCTTTCCTTCTATGGTCGCTGGAGAACCCGGTTGGATGAAGATCTGCGAGATAATCCGGGAGATTTTCGAATTCAAAGCTCATTTCCTTCTATGATCGCTGGAGAAACGGAAGAAATTGGAGAAACGTTGAGATTCGCTGGTATTCAATACTCCTTGCCTTCAAAAAAATGAAGAAATTGGAGTTGCTAAATCTTTGGCGGAGAAAGAGGGACGATTGTGCCTAATTTAGGTAAGTCCGATTCACAACCTATGCACGGTTCTAATTTAGCTACCAAATGTAGGATTTTTTTATTTTTTATTTCTTATATATCACATTGGAATACATTCATTTCAATTGTCTTCTTCTCGATTCAAAATTTTTGCCTCTGGACAATAACATGGTGTCCCGAACTTAAAATGCACGGGGTCACAACACTGATTTTGTGTTTACCAGTGCAAGCTACGACAATGATTTTGCAATCAAATGTCCGACGCGGGTAAA